AAATTAATTAATTAATTAAGGGGAGGGGGTGGGTCTAAAAATGTAAAACCTGTTGGTTTTTTATCTTCAAGGTGCCCTGAACTGGAAACAATTCTTATCTGAATAACTTCCAAGAAGAACCAGAGATACAACAATTAGTTGGTATCGCAATCTTTAATTCCGTTTTTCTCGAAATGAGGTTTTTGGCGTTCTAAACTTTGAAATTCCGTAACTCAGCGAATTTTCAACCAAAAAAGTTCTAAGACCACTCAAAATTTTCCAAATTTTGTCAGGAATACGCCCATATAGATAACTCCAATAGTGCCAAAATGGGCCCTTTTCATGTGGACGTCCACATATAAGAGAACATTTTACTTAAAACTATAAATTAGATTTTTTCATAACTAAAAAACATGAAGATATCGATAACTCCGAGTCTTCGACTCGGAGCGATCGATTACTTCATGTTTTATAATAATTAAAGATAGAGTGATAAAATCATTATCAATTCAATTATTATTTTCAAGAATTTTTAACTAAAATTCTTCTTAAAATCGATTATTTTTAATTATTTTCGAAAAAGTTTTTTGACAATTTTCAAATCTATTTCTTTACAATATTCAATTTTACGAAATTTCAATTATTTGTAAATTCTTCAATTAAATATGTATTAGAAAATAAAAACTTCAAATAATATAAAAAAAATTAGCAATTAAAATTTCTCAAAAAAATTAATTCCACAGAATTTTTACTTATAGCGAATTCGGTTATCTGCTCCGAGAGCGATCTTGCTCGGTGTAGGAGTATAGTTTACTCTGCTCTCAAAAAGCTGTGCTCTACTCTGAGGCAATCTATGACGTCATGAACACTGGCAAAGTTCGACTGTTTTTGGAGCAGGAGCACAACATGAACTGCTATGGGGCTATGGTGTAAAGCATACACTGCTCGTTTGGCGCGAAGTTTAAATTTAATTAAACTTATATAATATAATGTAATATAATATTATATTTATTATATTATATATATTATTATACATTATATTATGCAATATATTTTCTTCTTAAATGTAAAATTATTTTACTTAAAATTAAATATTTTATGATGTATACATAAATAATATTTTTAAAAGCAAAAAATTTGATATTTTTATTAGAATTTTAAAATCTTATTCGGTCAATGTTTTCATATAGCAGAATTGTTAATCACAAAATTATCGAATAATATTTCTGATATAAATTTTGTTTACATTATTTGACATTTTGAACTACTAACAACAACAATAATAAAATAAGTGAAAAGGTTATTTCTTTGAGACCAAATAATTACTTTATAATGAGTATTTTTATTTAAATATTAAAAATATTGAAAATTATTTACTGTTTTTATTAAATATTAAAATATTGAATGTTAGTCTTTCTCTAAATACAAAATTCATTATAAAAAACATAATTCGTCTTCACTACTATCGCTAGAGGTGTCAATTAAATCTGTTAGAAGTGAAATTTTTAAATTTGCCGCTTCTCTTGACATTTTTTTAAACTGCACTAACAAAATTGTGGGAGCAAATTTTGTTGCACCTTTCGATCCTTGAGAGTGCACACTTCTTAATTCGAACACAAATAACGATCTGCGCCGGAGCAGTGCTGCCAAAACGAATACTCGAAACGATCTGCGCCGGAGCAGTGCTGCTAAAGCGAATACTCCAAACGATCTGCACTAGAGCACATTTGTCAAACCGAACATGCTACTCCTGCTCTGGAGCACTCCGAGAGTGCTCCGGTGCAGATAACCGAATTCGCTATTAGTTAAAAATATGAAAAATTCAAATTTTCAAAGATTTTAATCTGAAACCTTTTCAAAATTTAATTATTTCTAAAACTTTACGCTCTAAAGGCGCTCTCACAGCTAGTAGGCAGCATATAAATTTGAATTTACTGTCTCTTTCACTCTAATTGATTTTCTCTCTTACTCCAATTACTGCCTGCGCAGGCAGGCAGAGCTGTGAGAGTTCCATAATACTTTTAATATTCAATTATAATCTAAAATTTTAACTGAAATCCATTTTTAAATCAATTTTTATGAGAAAATTCTACGAGAATTTCATTATTTGAAAACAAAAAAAAACAATTTATTGAATAATTACATATGAATTATTACATTGAATTCTTTTAAAGAATTGTATCAATCAATTTTAAAATAATTTGAATTCTTTTGCAAAATTTTATTAAAATAGATATTAAAAATATTTAAATTAGGGAAAATTTTTGAAAATAATTGAAATTTTGCCAAGAAATTTATTAAATTTTTTGAAAATAATTCAATTTTAGAGAAGAATTTTATTATTTATAAAGATAATTGATAATTTACGCAAAGAATTGCATTAAAAATTTTGAATGCAATAATTTTATTCTTTAAAGAAATTTAATTAAAAATTTATTAAAAATAATATTTAAATTCTAATAAATAAATTGTAGCAGAGGTTATTAAAATAATTAAATTTCTTTGATAAATTTTAATAAAATTTTTAAGAATAATTACATTTTTCGAGGAATTCGATAAAAATTGTATTAAAAATAATTGAAATTCTGCGATGAGTTTTATTATTTATGAAAATAATTGAATTCCTAATAAGAATTTTATTATTTGCCAAAAAAATTAAATACCTGTAAAAATTTTATTATTTATGAAAATAATTGAATATTGCGAAGAAATTTATAAAAAAATTTGTAAATAATGAATTTCCTGTAAAATTTTTATTATTTTTTGAAAATAATTAAAAGTTTGTGTAGAATTTTATTAATTTTTTTTAAATAATTGAATTCTTTTGGAAAATTTTACTAGAATAGTATAGATACCTACCTATTAAAAATCATTGAATTGAGGAAAAATTTTGAAAATAATTGAAATTTTTCCAAGAATTTTATTAAAATTTTTGAAAATAATTGATATTTTGGAGAAGAATTTAATTAATAAATTATCCAAATTATATCGTATAATTTACGTACTTTACGGACCTTTTTCAATCAAATTACGGACTTTACGGACCTTTTTTCAAAAAAACGGACTTTTACGGACTTCAAGCAAAGTTACGGACTTTTACGGGATTTACGGACCTAGTTCGAGTCCTGGTTACCTATTGATGTTTTTTTGAATAATTTTGCAATTAAGGAAATTCGTAAATAAATGTAACAGAATATTTTTTTGAGTAAAATTTTTTCCTCTATTTTCTAAAAATTCAAAAATTTCCATTTTTAATTAAAATTTGTAATTGACAAATAGAATTTATAAACATTTTTTTTCTTTATTTTTTAAAAACTTTGAATTTTATTAAACAATTGTAATTAAAAAATAGAAATGATGTAAATTATTTCCTTATAAAATTTTTCAAAAATTGTAATAAAATTCTTCGAAAGAATTCAATTATTTCCATAAATAAACCAGCGCTTCGTCGACCGCTTCGCGGTCGACTTTTTTGCTTTCTTCTTTTTTTCTATTCAAATTGTTCCTTTTTTTTAAATATTAAATTGTTTATTGTGACTCATGTAAAATTACCTAAATTTTTATTTAGTTTCTCTAAAGTTAAGTTAATTAAAATAAAAATTGCCACTTCATAATGATATTGAAAAGAGCGACTGTAGCTCCATCTTCTAACTATGTATGAGTTTTTAAGGTACTATATTTCTTTAGATTTGGAAATGTGAGTGTGCCCTTCTATGTTTCATTTTCATTGCTATAACTGCGAGAGTACATTCGATTATTTTCGATTTAAATTCGAGATTTCTCACTCATGTCTTTTTTTCTAAAGGACTAGCGGGACTAGCTCCTCCGACGGCCGCAAGCGGCCGTCTATGGTGCTAGTTTTTATATGTCCATTGTCCAAGTCCATTATTTCATTAATAATAATATTCAAATTTTTTCAGTTAATAATTTGCTTATTTATATTTGAAATGTTGACGTTTTTTTTGACAATGCAAAATAAGATTTATTATGAGTACTTTCTCTTAACAAAAATAAAATTTATATATTCGCGCTCTTTTTAAATAACATACGACTGCAGCGCCACCTTCACATGTACAAACAATTTTAAAAACACCCTTCTATTAAGATTTTACATTCTCATTGCCCATTCTTTACTTCGATACTTTTCGATACATTCGACCTTTCCACTCCATGTCTTTTTTAAGAAAGGATAATAAAACCCTCGCAACTATTGAATAATTTTCATAATATATAATAAAATTATTCACAGGATTCAATTATTTTTAAAAATTTTAATGTAATTTTTCATAAAAATTCTATTATTTTCAGTCTTTGGGAATAGAACGGTTATGCATTTAAATACATAATTCACAAGCGTCACAACAAAAATTTATAAAGTTTCATAATTACACAAAGTTTTAAAAAATGACGATGAATTATAGAATTAAAAAGATTAAAAAAAAAAAAATTAAAAAAAAATTAAAATTAAAATAATTAATTATTATTAATTATTATTTATTTTATTATATTATTATTATTATTATTATTATTATTATTATTATTATTATTATTATTATTATTATTTTATTATATTTTTATTTATTTTTTATTTTTTTTTTTTATTATTATTAATTATTTAATTAAAATTAAAATTAAAAAATTCAGAGTCAATTAACATTTAAGTCGATGAAATTTTTTGATCTCGGGAATTTTTGTAATTTAATTTTCAATTAACAGAAATTCTATTCAACAAAATTTATATTTAGCGAATTTATTATTAAAAAAATTTATACTTTACCGAAATATTTAATTTACCTTATTTTCTATTTTAGTACAGTAATTTCTAATTTTGTTGAACATATATTTGAATAGAAAATAACGTTCAAAACTTTTCCAAGATAACTTTATAAATTGCTTTTTAAAATAAGTGACGCAATATTATTGTTAGTTTTGCATTTGGAAAATGAAATGAATTTCGTTTCGTTCATTTAAAACTATGAGCTCATAATTCCATTTAAAAAATCGTTAAAATAAATATATACCTGTGCCATGTTAATGACACCTTCGGCAAGTGTCTTATATCCAAGCATAGTCCTATTTTTGTATCGTTTCCGCCTCTGTAGGAGAATTAATAGTTTATTGCCATCACGTTTCAGAAAATGTGGATACTGGAGGGCAAATTGCAATTCTAATTCGGTGTCCAAAATTCCGCCCGGTGGAATTGTCATTTCATTCGAGCGTAATGTCCGTTTTGAACTTTGCATTTTCACTGCAATGCTGATTGAAGCTAATTCCGAGCCCAACGGTTGAAGAATCACCAGTCGTGACAATGTCAAGGAACAAAGTCTGCAACAATAAAACAATTATTAAAAACAGGAACAACAACAACAACAACAATAAAAATAATAATAGAAAAAATTATTGAACACCATGAAATATTTAATTTCGAAACAAAAAATTCACCGAGAAAATTGTGCGTTATTTTCGAAAAGCGGAAAGAAGAGGGTAAACAATAATTAAAATAATGTCTCTATAAAATTTAATTGACTTCGTAGAAGAATAGCACACAACAGATAGCAGGTAAATCGTTCAAAAGTTATGGAAGCAAATTTGCAGAAATTCGAGAAAAATTTATTTAATAACGACTTATCTATAGTTGTGTTTGTATAATATTCACTTTATAAACAAAAAGTTTTAGAACACAACTATTTGAAAGTAAAATTTCGAAATCACTCCAAGTTTATAAATTTGAAAATTCTGAAGAAATTTCTCTCTCTCTCTCTCTTTATATCTCTCGCAGTGTAAACCGGATAAATAAATAAATAAATAAAAAGTTTCCTGACGTAAATGATAGCAGGTGGTTTCTACTTTTATTTAATAGGCCACTAAAAATCTAAATAAAGCTTGAATTGCAAACTATTTTATACATCTATACTATATATAGAATTCGGTTATTTAATTCACATCAATGCGAGCATCAATGTCACGTATGTATACATAATAAAAAGCCCTCGACTATGTTATGCAATTTCTGCGATTTCAATATACTTATGAATGCAAAATCTCTCTCTCTCTCTCTCTCTCTCTCTCTCTCTCTCTCTCTCTCTCTCTCTCTCTCTCTCTCTCTCTCTCTCTCTCTCTCTCTCTCTCTCTCTCTCTCTCTCTCTGTGGATTCCACGAATGGATAAAAAAAAAGTGCAATTATTGATTATATACTGGCTGTTATGAATCAATATTTGATCACATATTTAAACTGTGTGAAATTGTTAAAAACTTCCTGTTTGATTTGCCACAATTATATATTTGATATTGGTGCTAAATTTAATTTACCGTAAATTTAACATAAATACCAAGATTATTGTATAGATAATTATTTATACGAATTTAAGAGTATTACTTATGCAGAAACTATTTAACTGACGAATATTTAATTTCTTCCTATTAATTAACGTAAGAAGAAAACCGATGAATTTCTTCGACTATTAATTAATTAACAAACAAAAATTTTAATAAAATTTTCGATTAGTTCAATTTCATGTTAAAAGAAATTTCAAAATACTTTCACAAATACTGCACTTTATTAATTAATAAATATTAATAATTAATAATACATAAACATCTAAAGTGTTTAATTCACGTTTATACTTTCTAATCAAAAATTTTTTCAAAAATATTATTGTCGAGAAACAATAATTCGTTTATTTGAACGTTCAAAAGCTTTTGCAACTTGTTTTCTGAAAAAATATAAAGAAATCTTGTCTGATTTCTTAAAAGAAAGAAATTATGGAAAATTTAGAGGAAATTCCTCAAAAGTGTTGAATATTGAGAAGGTCATTGAATATTGATATAAGAGAAAAATAAAATTTTTTTCTTATTGTGAAAATATCTTCTTCTCCATTTACTAATCGAGAAATTGCAATATAATTGTTTTCAAGAGATAAGAACAAAAGGAGGTAAAACAAAATTGTCTTTCTGAATCGAAATTTTAGAAATTTATCGGAAATGGAATATAATAAATATTTAATTAAGTGATTAATCAAACATATAGGTCTCGGATCGACTTTAAGGTGCAGAAAAAGTCGTTTTATTCGATTAAAGATATGAAAAGAGTGGAAAATGTTGTTTTTTAAATTCAATGTTGAGACAAAAATTTAATTTTATATTTTCCTGACCTTTCAACTGATTTATAAATTGAATTATTCAAAACTTCAATAAATTTGCTTAATAATTATTTAAATATTTTTTATTTTTTTCTACAGGAAAATTTGTAATTTCAGAAAATTACAAATGTAACCCTTTCAAAATTCAATTATTTTCTAGAATTTGTAACTAAACTTCTTCTCTGAATCAATTAATTTTAATAACTTTCCAAAAATTTTTTGAGTATTAAATTATTTAAATACTAAAATTAAATTTTTTATTGTACATACCTAATTATAACTGCAATGCCACATGATTTTTCTTCAAATTTAGTAAAAATTTTTTTAAATAATTCAAGTTTTTAAAAGAATTTTTGGAAAATATTAAAAAATAATCAATTTTTTAAAGAATTTTAATTAAAAATTTTGAAAAGAAGTGAATAATTTTCGTTTATTTGAATCTTTAAAGCATTGATATTATAATTTTTATTAACTTTCTTTTTCAAATTTTAATTCAATGATTTTGCCATTAAAATTTTTAAGAATTTTATTTATTTCCATAATTAGCAATTAAAATTCAACGAAATTTGATTTTGAAATCCTTCAAAAATTCAAAACATTCTAAAATGAACAAAATTTTTATTAATTTTTATTTAAAGAATTTTAATTAAAATTTCTGAGAATTCTATTATTTTGAAAATTAGCAATTAAAATTTAAAACAAATTCAATTATTTAAAAACTTTATAAAGAATTTTATCCCTATTATTTGAAATAATTAATCTCTTTCAAAAAATTTTAATAAAAATTTTAATCTTTACATTTTTCGAGGAATTCGATTAAAATATTGTACTAAAAATAATTAAATTCCTGTCACAAATTTCATTCAAATGTTTAAAAATAATTGAATTCTTGCCACGAATTTGATTAAAATGTTTAAAAATAATTAAATTCCTGTCACAAATTTCATTCAAATGTTTAAAAAATAATTGAATTCTTGACACGAATTTGATTAAAATGTTTAAAAATAATTGAATTCCTGCGAAGAATTCAACTAAAAAATTTTAAAATAAGTTAATTCTCGTGACAACCTTATTATTCATTAGTCAAATCGAAAAAGAGTAAATAGTAGGTTTTAGTAGATTAGTTGGAAGTCTGTACAAATATTAGGAAGAAAATGAAAAAAGTCGCTTTTTTTGGAAAATAATGAGAAATAAAAGACCTTTTGGTCATAATATCCGAGACCTTGAAAGAGAATAAATAAATATTCAGCGTAATTTTTTAGCTGTTTTGTGTTAAAATAGGGGTTGGTTTAAATAGTACAGGTTGGCAAATTGAATTTTCCTGCCATTGCATGACGGAAATCTGACGAGGCGAGTGTCGTGCGAGACAGACTGGCGTAGGTCGGTCGGTGACATTGAATCGATCGGCACAACATCGAAGCTTCAAGTTTGCCTTATAGTAGGGTTGGAGGGCTTGTTTTCTATTCTATATAGTGTGGCACTCCAATAAAGTTACCTTCCTCGATTCTCGTGGGTGCAAGTCATTTCAAAACTAAGTACACACTTGACGAGACGATGCATGAATCACCCACCCAGCCATACGACGATGAATGAATGAATCAGTTCAACACACATTCGACACTTGTGCTTCATTTTCAGAAATACATTCTCAAACACCTCGAGCTTTTCATCTGAATTAATCGTCTCCATTCTTTACCAAATCGAATTAGTTTTCCTATTTATATCCTTCCATCAAATCTCTTTCACTCCCGGAACATCCAAACACATTATTTTCTTTTTTGGCAGTGGATTTTCAAAATGATGACATACCTGAAACATTTTTCGAAAATTGCAATTTTTATTCATGACAAAAATTTTTTGCTAAATTTGTTAATTAAAATATCGACAGATATAATATTTGGTCCTTTTTTACCCCACCAAGGTTGACACAAAAATTTAATTTTCTTGTTCCCTGACTTTTCCCTGATTTCCAGACAAAATTTTCACTTTTTCCCTGACCCTAAAGAATATTCTGATTCACTCTAAAAATTATTAGATACTGAAAAAACATTCTATTACATTTACAGGGCTCGAAGCAGTGAAAGTATACGGACTTTTCGAAAAAGTTCTTTGACAATTTTCAAATTCATTTCTTTACAATATTCAATTTTACGAAATTTCAATTATTCCTAAATTCTTTAATTAAATAAATATTAGAAAACAGAAACTAAAAATAATATTAAAAAAACTCAATTAAACTTTTTCAAAAAAATTAATTACAAAATTCAATTATCTTCTAAATTTCACGCTCTATTGCATTTAATATTAAATTATTATCTAAAATTTTAACTGAAATTCATTTTTATGAAATGACAATCAATTATTTTTATTAGAAAATTCTACTAGAATTCAATTATTTAATTATTTAAATACAAATAAAATGCAAATAAATAATTTTTTTAATAATTGAACGTTTCTTAAAATTCCAATTCCCATAAAAAATTCTTCTCAACAAATTTTCAAATAATTGAATTCTTTTGACAAATTTTAATAAAATTTTTAAGAATAATCACATTTTTCGAGAAATTCGATTAAAATTGTATTAAAAATATTTGAAATTCTGCATTGAATTTTATTATTTATGAAAATAATTGAAATTTATGCCAAGAATTTTATTAAAATTTCCAAAAATAATTAAATTCCTGTAAAAAATTAACAGGAATTCAATTATTTTTAAAAATTTAAATAAAATTCTTGGCATAAATTAAAAATAACAAAATTCTTAGCAGATCTTCAATTACTTTCAGAAATTTTAATAAAATTTTTCTCAAGAGTATAAAATTTTTTTTTTTTTAAATAATAAAAATCTTTGCAGAGATTCAATTATTTTCAAAAGAATTTTATCAGAAATTCAAACATTTTAAAAAGTTTCGATAAAACTTTTTTTGGTAGAAATTCAATTATTTTTAAGACAATTTTAAAAAAATGTCTCGATAAAATTCAATTATTTTTAAAATTTAAATGAAATTCTTTGAAAGAATTCAATTATTATAATCTAATATTTTAACTGAAATCTATTTTTAAGTCAATGTTTATGAGAAAATTCTACCAGAATTCAATTATTTAAATACAAAAATAAATAATTTATTGAATAATTGAATGTTTCTTGGAATTCAATTCCTAATAAAAATTTTCTTAACAAATTTT